GTGGGTGGTAGGGGGCGGAGGGTGGGGAGGGGGGAAGCGGGGAAGCGGGGATGAGGGAAAGGGGGCCATCGAAGGGTTCAATACACGCAGGCAGGGCGAGATGCTGATGATGATGATGATGCCACTGCTACTGCTGCCACTCCACCTACCCAGTAGGAGTAAATAATGATTTGTTTAAGAGGAGGAGGGGGGAGAGGAGCCCGGTCCTCTGCACCATCATGAGCTCGTAGCAACTCCTTTCCCCCCACACACACATACACACATACACACATACGTACGGTCAGGTCATGTAACAGATATATACCATGCATACATACATACACACGCACACACAGCTCCCAAGATCAGCTGTCTCCCAAACTCCGTTCCGAGGTGCTAACGGTTTGCCCTCCCCCCTCCTCCTCCTCCCCCCTCCTCCTCCTCCCCCCTCCTCCTCCTCCCCCCTCCTCCTCCTCCCCCCTCCTCCCTCCAACCCCCCCTCCCCCCCAAACCCCCAACCAGCCGCCCACCCTCAGCATGGCCGTGTGGAGCGTCATCATACCCAAACACCAGCATGGGTCGTACAACCTGTACGACAAGTAGATAGGTCATGATAGATGTGAAGATATAAAGATAGATATGTAGGTAGGTAAGGACCAGATAGGAAGATGTCGTACGATGCTGTATTACGATAGGGGCGCCACAGCCCCCGTGAACACCAACACACCACCTCCCACCGCACATAACTACGCACTTACACACACACACACACACACATAAGTGAGGAACCCCAACCCCTCCCTTTTCCCCTTCCTTCCCTGACTCCGTACCCTGCCGTACCTTGACCCCTGGTGAGTCCATGGGTACGAGCACCATGGACTGTTGCTTGTGGGGAGCGGCCCGTGGGTCGGTCTTACCCATGAAGATCGCAACCTGGAAAGAAGGGTACGGAGAAGGGTACGGCATTTTCATTGCACCGATAACTTTCTTCTTCCTGCCTATTGAGCATTGAGTACGTAACTGCGCAGCGTTGGGGGGAAGGGGGGGAAAGACGAACCACGTGAACGAGTCAAGCTGCTGCTGCCAGGGCAAGGGTAGTGGGTAGGGGGTTGCTGAAGCGGCAATGGAAAAAGGAAAAAAAAGACGAACTTTGTGTGAGGTGGTTGATACACCGAAGCAGCTCTCGTCAAAAGTGTTGCACCCTTAACCCGCTCCCCCCCCCGCCAAACACCCTCCCGTCTACTCCCAGCACCGTTTGCACACCATGCCGTACTGTACGGTAAGCCGTAAACCGTACACGTACCTTGCATCGCGGGTCCATCGCCCCACTGGTCCACCACTTGACGCCGCTGAGGTTCAAATAACCGCCGCACGGACTTCGGTTAATGGTGGCGGTTATGTTGGTTGCGTCAGATGAGGCAACCGCCTTTTCCGTCATTGCGAAACAGGACCGGATCTCGCCACGGAGTAACGGCAGCAGCCACGTCAGCTGCTGTTCGCGACTGCCGTACTTTGCCAAGACCTCCATATTACCTAGGTGGAATGGCCGGGGATGGGCGAGCGGGTAGGTGGGTGGGTGGACGGGTTGCGAGGGGGTTCATTCCGCTAAAGGGGGAAGTGAGGGGGGAAAAGACGAACCACGTGAACGAGTGAAGCTGCTGCCAGGGCAAGAGTGTACCAGACGTAGAGCTGACCGAAAGGCGGGGAAACGGGGGGGGGGCGGCGGTTTGCACAACAGTGCCGTGTGGTGGTTTAAAGGTACTTTGGGTTCCCTTTTTGTGGGGGAGAGGAGAGGGGAGCTTGGAGCGTGTGCTCCATGTGCGGTGTGTGTTTTTATACGTGTACTTGCATGTACGAACCGTACGGTGCTTCATTTTGCACATGACCCAGTCCTGCTTACGAAGACGACCATAACCAACCGCTAACCGCTAACCACCATAACCACCACAAGGACTAGACAAGTATGACAGGAAAAAAGAGGCAGCACAGGATACTCTCAGAGGCATATTGCATCTAAATCTTCCCCTTCCTTCCCCTCTCCCTCCTCCTCCACCCTCCCACACTCCACCCCA